TTGTCGAAACTATTCATTATTGGTCAAAAGGGCTTACATGTCCCTATCGCAACTTTTGATTAACTATCTACTGATATTTAATTGGGACATATACCGGGTGATCAAGAATCTGAATTCTGCACCACCCTGTATTTGTTTCAATTAAATGTCAGTAGATAGTTGATCAAAAGTTGGGATAGGGACATGTAAGCCGTTTTGACCAATAATGAATAGTTTCGACAAAAAAAATTCCTTAAGTTGAAAAATGTCGATTTTTCACACCCTATATCTCTGTAATCATTTCCGATAGACCCCAAGTGTGATACATCGATGAAATCAGTTCTTCAGAGAGAATCTGAAAATGCGATAAAATACAGGGTGTTCCATTTGAAATAACAAAGTTGTTGCTACTTTTCGATAGAAGCGGCAACGCCGCAGAGCTGAAAATATTTTAGATCGATAGATCAAGAGCAATTAGTTGAGTAACCAAATTTTCAGAATGATCTTATGTCCCGTTCTCCGTAAACGTCTAAGGTGCCATCGACCGTGACCCACCCTGTATAAGGAACAAAACATTTAAGTCGAACATATACTAGTAAAAGTCACACTATAAAAAAATATATTGAACAATCAAAATCGAATTATGCAAACTGACAAACTTAATAAAATGATATAGGACTTTCCCTTTAGAAGTGTCCAATTTGGCCCACCCTGTACATGCTGTACGAAATATCGATTAAGCCCAACTCATTTTTATTTTTCAAAATAAAGCGATTTCTAATTTTTGGGGCGGCAAACTGAAAATAGCTGATGATGAAGAATATAGCTATAGCGAATAGTTAACAAATAAAAACGAATGAAAAAAATAGAAGGAGAAGACAACTTCATTGCGCCTTTGTTGATTATATCATGATTATATCCGGGGCTTGTGGCATTTTGCCGACTTGCCACCCTGTAGCTACGGTACTGGTCAAGTTTCAACTTGTATAATCTCGATTATTACCTACTTTTTATATCGTGTATGTATAAGACCGGCGAGGGACTTTCGGACAGTATTGCCAGTGTGGTTCAGCACGGCTGTATTAAAGAAGGCTGTGGTCTTACCTGATCAGAACCTGTTAGTTACTTGTTCTAAGCTGATATTTACCTGATTCAAAGCTGATGACTTAGGCGTAGCTTGTAATTGGTCAATGATACATCACGCCAGTAGTTGCGTTTTATTTGTTCTATTCTGGAAGTGGTGGTGGGAATAGAATGACGTTTACAAATAAAACGCGAATCTTCATGACCTTGCATGGGAGAATTCACATAAATCACATAAGAAGTTATACTTATATATCTGGGCTCCAAATAATTTTGAAATCATGATACTAGAGTTAAGAATCTATAATATCAATCAACGAATATTTGGAGCAGTGATTGTGGTGATTGGAGAAACGTTTCTGAGATAGAGAGAATTAATTTTATCTAGAAATGAACATATGAAACCTGTCTTACTTGAAAGAATCTTAAACATGTGAACCTCACGATAAAAATGTCTTCTGGAAATCGGGAAAGTTGCAAATAAAACGACACATCATGTGTCATCATTTCGGTTGCTATTATTCATTCCCTCTCACTACAAGGAATGACATGGAATGACTGTTGACAATTATCAAAATATTATATTAGATTGAGGAAAAACGAAACTTTTTAAAAGTAGAAGACATTCAGAAGACATTTTTATCGTGAGGTTCACATGTTTAAGATTCTTTCAAGTAAGACAGGTTTCATATGTTCATTTCCAGATAAAATTAATTTTCTCTATCTCAGAAACGTTTCTCCAATCACCACAATCACTGCTCCAAATATTCGTTGATTGATATTCTAGATTCTTAACTCTAGTATCATGATTTCAAAATTATATAAGTATAACTTCTTATGTGAATTATGTGAATTCTCCCATGCAAGGTCATAAAGTGATTCCGGTGGCGTAATCGGATAAATAAAACGCAACTAGTAACAATTGACAGATATGTACTTGATGTTTGTGACACCTTTGACAGTTGACAGCTCTGATTTGGATGTTTTGTTCTCGGTTTGCCTTTTTCTTTCTGACTTATTTGTTGATATCTGATTATCATGAATGATCACAATATCGAACTTGAACTTGAGCAATGTCCTCTGGAACTCTCGATGGAACTTTCGAGATCTGCATTCCATTTGTCGAGTCAGCCTTGAGAACGGAAATGTTTTTTTTTTTAATTTGTTCCACTGTTCCTGGAAAGAGTGTACATACTGTTTCTGTAAAGCAATACATTTTTAGTACCATTAGTAATGTACAGGGTGTCCCAAACTGGATGCGTTCTTATGGGAACACTCCTTATTTGAAGAGATGGAAAAAATTAACCTAGGTGTCCGGAGCTTAAATTCAATAAGGAAACCACTGGCGCAAACGAGACTGCTATCTCTTATCGTTTGGCCGCCAGAGGGCTTTTCTCGAAATTCGTTGATTTCTTCAATGCCCCATAACTTTCTTATTAATGAAGATAATTCATTTTGGTAAAAACATTCTCAAAGCACTTTTTTCCATAGAATCTATTGAGATGAGAAGTTTTTCTACAGGGCGTTCAGATTGCTGTGCACCATCCCAAACTCTGTTTTTTTAAATGGACCACCCTATATATCATGATATTTTTGAGAAGCTCGTAAAATTTCCTAAATTTTGGTGTATCACTCGTCATGTTTATCTCAGAAACCATCAGCAACATTACGATTTAAAAATTAAAATATTGTGCCTACAGAAATCAAGATTGCCCTGACTAATGAAATGACATAGGATGCTAACATGTTATGATTAAAACTACAGATCTGAAGTTTCATGATTAAATTACTCATAGTTATCATAATGAATTTATAATTATTTAAAATACAAAGGACAACAACAACAAACCAACAATATTACACTAACAGTTTTCTTGTGGAAGTTTTACCATTATTTTGATATAAAGTTCCCAATACGGTTATAGTTTTTATTTCATTTTCATTTTGAATTTCTTGATTTTGAGCATAACTTGCTCTGGGTTTGTTGAAAGAACCAAAATTTTGGAGATTATGGGCAAGTCTAGCAAATATATCCCTGGATGGTTGCTGTCGTTCGGGATATCTTTGGAAATACAAGTTTTCAAAAACCTTATGAATATACTTATTTTCTACCGAAAATACCAAAATATCAAACATTATCGAGTTCTACTGTCAATTCTCAACTATTTAGAAGCTGTCAAACAACGAAAACAGAATAATCATGATCACGGCCTACTGCTTCTTTACGTAAAAACTTTAGTTCGGTGGTTTCAACTATAACATGTTAGCATCCTATGTCATTTCATTAGTCAGGGCAATCTTGATTTCTGTAGGCACAATATTTTAATTTTTGAATCGTAATGTTGCTGATGGTTTCTGAGATAAACATGACGAGTGATACACCAATATTTAGGAAATTTTACGAGCTCCTCAAAAATATCATAATATATAGGGTGGTCCATTTAAAAAAACAGAGTTTGGGATGGTGCACAGCAATCTGAACGCCCTGTAGAAAAACTTCTCATCTCAATAGATTCTATTGAAACAAGTGCTTTGAGAATGTTTTTACCAAAATGAATTATCTTCATTAATAAGAAAGTTATGGGGCATTGAAGAAATCAACGAATTTCGAGAAAAGCCCTCTGGCGGCCAAACGATGAGAGATAGCAGTCTCGTTTGCGCCAGTGGTTTCCTTATTGAATTTAAGCTCCGGACACCTAGGTTAATTTTTTTCCATCTCTTCAAATAAGGGGTGTTCCCATAAGAACGCATCCAGTTTGGGACACTCTGTACACTTGTTTTTGTGACAAAGTAAAAAAATGAAGTATCCTATTTCTGGATTTCAAGGTTTTTTGGTTCATTATTTTTCAATAATATGCCACGTGGGGCACATTGAAACACACTATATATGTGTAATCGCATTCCTTGCCTGTTTCATTGATTTTATATTATCTTTCCAAAGTCAACTGAAGTAGCTCGATCAAAAATAAAAAAGGGACCGGCGGTACGCGGCATATGTTTTTTGCTGGAGCTGCTTATCTGACTTTGGAAATACTATACAGGGTGTCCCTCCGGTCGTATTTGAAAATTTGGTAGTTCACTATTGTTGATAAGTGCTATCCGGCTAAAATATTTTGAAGATTGTTGCACTTCTGGTTGTACAGGAAGTGGACCCCAACTTCCATATTTCAAATGGAACACCCTGTATTTTATTGCATTTTTAGATTTTTACTGAAGAGCTGATTTCATCTATGCATCACACTTGGGATCTATCAAGAGATATAGGGTGTTCAAAATCGAGATTTTTCAATTTTAAATTTTTTTTGTGTCCAAACTATTCATTATCGATCTAAACGGCTTAAATGTCTCTATCTTAACTTTTGAATCACTATCTACTGGAATTCGATTGGAAAAAATAGAGGGTGCTTCAAGATTCAGAATTCTGATCACCCTGTATCTGTTCCAATCAAATGTCAGTAGATAGTGAATCAAAAGTTAACATAGGGACATGTAAGCCGTTTTGATATAGATAATGAATCGTTTCGACACAAAAAAAATCCTAACATTGAAAAATCCCGATTTTGAACACCCTATATCTCTGCAATCATTTCTGATAGACTCCAAGTGTGATACATTGATGAAATCAGCTCTTCAGTAAGATTCTAAAAATTCAATAAAATACAGGGTGTTCTATTTGAAATAACGGAGTTGGGGTCCACTTCCGGTACAACCGGAAGTGCCACAATCTTCAAAATATTTTCGCCGGATAGCACTCATCAACAATGGTGAACTACCAAATTTTAAAATTCGGCCCACCTATGGTTTTCTATAATATATTGATCGATGCATCAGTTCCCGGAGGGACACCTTGTATATACTGATGAATACCAGATGATGTATTTATTTCGATAAATTGTTGGTGCTTGTATAAACTTGATATACCTAGCGTTTATTTGTAGTTGTACTCAAAGTTGGCCATGAATCCTGAATGAGAATCCATTTTTCTACAGAAAATAGAGGAACTCCTAGTAGAAATCATATGTAGTGGTTGGATTGATTTATTTCGATTTTGGAACTATCGGGATAGTTTTTATGTTTTTATATTTTGTGTCAGCAGTGTCAGCACTCTAGCTTTTTCGTAGAATCAGCTGGAAATAGTTTTCAAATGTGAAATTATTTGATATCCAATATCGCTTTTGTTTTATTTAGCCATGAACTGTAATATAGATATACCTACTTGGTTTTCTATTTCGATTGAATTCATTTTATATCAGGACTTTTTTAATCAGAATGACTCGCGGCAGAAGATTTTGTGATATAATATGCCAGAGGTACATCAATTATTCTAGTTGCTATTCGTTATGTTGCCTTACCCATTGACAATAACACTATGAGCTGTATAACTTTGTTAAAATTAACCTATAATTGTATTGATACCTACTTGTTACAAAAAGATGTTTTTATTTTTGGAAACAAACATTAGGAAATTTGTTTGAACCATTAAAAGAATTTTATTATATTACATTTGACTTTTTTATTATTATCACCAAGCCCAATTTTTATTTGTGTATCAAGGCATTGAAGTATATAACATTCCAAATAAGAATATAGTAAATGCGACAGCGTCTGAAATGGTAATTCATGGTAATTCTCTAATGAGGTGTTTCAATATTAACAAATCAAAGCGAAGGTCAATGCTTCAGTTGAATTTTGAATTGAGGAAACCCAATCACGAATCTTCGATTAGAGGTTTATAAAAATGACAAGTTTACATCTTTCAAGTTTGAACCCCATAATTGGATATGAAAGTATTGAAAAGGAACATTCTCAGATATATTATGGATATTAAAAAATGGATACATTTAAGGAAATACATTGAGAATTCGCATTACCTATGTGATTCTTTCTCGGTGTTTTCATCATCAGAAAACATACTTTCCTGGCTATAAATATAATTCAATGTTCGTCATGACATATACAGGGTGTTTCATAATCGAATGTAAATATTCGAGTAGGCGATTCTTGGGGTCATTCTAAGAAGAAAGTTTCATATGAACGTATGACCTAAACGTCCTTACTTTTGAGATACAGGGTGGTAAAGTTCTCAAAAATTAATATAGCCTACTACAATGAAAAGTTATAATTCCAAAATACCAAATACGATTACGAAGTTCATAAACTATGAATTGTACTTCTGAAATTTAATCTAAAAAATAAAATCTATTTCTCTGCATTGTGATATTGTCATATTAACGATATTGCTGTAATCGTGTAGTGAAAAGCTTTTTATTTTTTTATGCGAAAACCGTGCATCAGATTGAAAAAATTGTGGTGATCAAATTTGCTTAGAAATGATTGAGAGTTTCAGAAATGATATCAATTTCGAGATTGATCAGTGGCGTACCATCAATGTCTGCCAAAATAGGTATGTGAAATTCCATTCGAACGCCACTGGTGGCAACCAAAGAAAATGTATGATGCCTCTCGATACATAGTACATGTAAGCCATATTTCATTAGAATATCTGAAGTGGTATTACATATATTAATAACAAACTATTGATTTTTGAGAACTTCACCATCCTGTATCTCAAAAGTTAAGACGTTAGGTCATACGTTCATATGAAACTTTCTTCTTAGAATCGGCCCAAGAATCGCCACCCCAAATATATTGACATTCAATTATGAAACACCCTGTATAGCCAGGAAAGTAGTTGTTAAATACTGTTTGTAGGTTAATCGAGGAGGTAGTACATTCATTATTACTGATTTTTCGGGATTTTCTCTCGTCTCTATGAAAATATGAATATTATTTCAATATACGTCAGATCAGATGATTTGCCACAAAATGTCACTGTGTTTAAAGAATTTTCCTATCAGAGAGCCTAAAAGAAACATTCACTAGCTTGTCAGTGACAATTTGTATTGAAGAACGTTTAGGGAAGAGAAACAAAGGCATATAGAAAAAATAGCAAATTTTCACTTATCTTTGGACGTTTCGGGAACGAATCTGCTCCCGTTTTCAACATAAAAAATGGATTTTTGAATGGCAAATTCGTATTCGTCTTGACACTTCTCAGTTTTCAGTGACAATTGGTGACGTTGGCAATCAAATGAGTTACTGGATGTTTTCAGTAATAAATCTTGAATTTACCATTTTCAGATTTCAGTATTGAATACCATGTTCTATCTATATAAACTGAACAGGAAGCAATGCTATTGTCTCCGTTCAGAAGAATGCAAGCAGATTCATTGATTTTTTCTCTTCTGGTTGTTATTTTCTAACAATCAGTTATTTGTAACAGGTGTGTATATCGTAAAAAGTCCCATACTAATCATACTGTTACGACCCTGGCAATCGATCCCAGCTACCTGCGGGAACGGGAAGTAAACAAGGCCATATTTCTTGGAATAGTAATTAGGTGATTCGACGGCTATTGAGATGACTCGAGAAGATTATCGACCTGTTCACGATATTTCGAGTGGAATCTAGACGTTTTATTAGGTAATATAAATAGATGTTGTTAGGGACAGGAGGGGAAGTCTTTATTTGGAAGCGTTATAATAACGATCGAAGAAGTGTTGTGAATCGGAAGTGTTTAGTACGAGTATTGTTATTATTGTATAGTAGTGTTCAGAATAAATCGTTTTAAGTGTTCTACCGAGTGTTAAATTATTACGGACCCAGAGTAAAATCGTAACAGTGGTGTCAGAAGTGGGATTTTCGAGGACATTTGAATACGTATGGTGAATACAAGGAGTACGTCATACGACACGATGGAAGACATTATAAAATTCATGAAAAATCAGTTCGCAGAACTAGAGACACGACGACAGGAAGATGAGAAACGTCGTCAAGAAGAGTTACAGAAAATTCTAGAACATCAAGAAAAAGAACGAGAACATCAGAAAATCTTCTTCGAACAAATTCTGCATAAAACTGATAAGCAAATGGATGAGTTAAAGACAGATGTCACCAGAATTGATGACAAGCTTAACCAGGAAGTTTCAAGAATAGATTCCATGCTCGATGCAATCGAAAGAAATGTAGCGAATCAGATCACCTCGCTACGAAGTCAAGATCGCCGTGACAGAGTTGCCACATCGGGTTCTTCCGTGAAACCACCAACTTTTGATGGACAGTCGCCTTGGTCTATGTATCGCCGACAATTTGAGGCTGCAGCAAGTGCAAATGGGTGGAGTGACGAGGAAAAAGCTACTGCACTCATAGTAGCTCTGAGAGGACCAGCTTTGGGAATGTTACAGTCGATCCCAGTTGAACAACAAAACCACTTCGGAGATTTAGTGGCTGCGCTAGAACTCAGGTATGGTGACCAACATCGAGAACAGCTTTACCGGGCTCAGATGAAAAATCGTGTGCAGAAGTCTGGAGAGAGCCTACAGGAGTTCGAAGCAGATGTGAGAAGACTGACTCAATTAGCCTACCCAGAGGCACCAGAGGACTTCAAAGAACAACTGGCGGTGCAGGTATTCATCGACGGGCTGAGAGACTCAGAAATACAGAAGACTCTGAGGCTTACACACTTTAAGAGGAGTGGTGAAGCCCTAGTAAGATCTCTGGAGGTAGAAGCGGCCTTCAACACCTCTAGGCCAAAAGTGAGAGCTGTGTCCATCGAGGAGCCTTCCGAAGACGTGGACCCAGTGGCGAAAATGTTGAGAAAAGTGCTTGAGGAACTCAAAGAAATTAAGAGTGGGTCTAGTAACCAGCGAAATAGATCCTGCTATCGCTGTGGCAGAACTGGACACCTGATAAGGGACTGTAAGGTGAGAGTACCACCACGATCTTCTTCACCTGCAAGGACGCCATCACGGTCGTACTCACCTGCGAGGACTAGGTCATCTAGTGAGTCCTCAGATAGATACCAGGAAAACTAGAACTAGCCAGCGTATCGGGGCGCATGCTGGCTAGTAATAACGAAGCCCCCAGGGTCATTAACATCAACAGGATAAGAAGAACAACTGATAGCCTGACCATCAAAGGAAAAATCAACCAAATGGATGTAACCTGCACCATAGATACCGGTGCATCAGTTTCTCTGGTACGCAGTGACATTCTCCGGCCTGGAAGTATAAAACCAACCACTTCCAACTTTGTTCTTCGTACGGTCACTGGAGAAAATGCACCAATACGAGGGATGGCTGATATTGAGTTGACGCTTGGAAGACTCCATATAATGAACATGGTATACGTCGCAGATATCGAAGATGAGTTTATCCTCGGCATGGATCTGATAAGTGACTACGGGTTTTCATTCGACAGTGATCAGAAGACCATGAAATTTGGAGGAGAAGAGTTTGTACTAACGACACCAGCCGAGAGGAAGACGTCTGTGAGGCTACGACTAGCGAAGACTGTGAGAATTCCTGGATTCACTGAGAAGATCATCCATGCGCGATTAGAAGAGGACCCTGGGTGCTGCGTTGGATTAGTACAGTCATGTGAGGAATCCCCCAGCAAGCTGTTACTTGCCCGAGCTTTAGTGACCACCGAACGAGACATTCCTGTGAGGGTAGCAAATGTTTTACCTACCACCATAACAGTAAGGGAAGGAGATATTATCGGAGCTTGTGAACCAGTCAGTTGGGTAGCAAAATGTGATAAGACTAACGAGCAGAGATGGAGGGAACGAGATGACAGTGCATTGAAAGTTCTGGAAACCTCCTTGGACCACTTATCACCAACAGAATATAAAGCTGCCAAGAAATTCATAGCAGACGAAAGTGATATCTTTGAATCAACATCAACAGGGCGGACGAACTTGGTCAAGCACAGAATAGATACTGGTAAAGCTCACCCAATTCGGCAACCATCAAGAAGAATGCCATTTGCTAAGCAACAGGAGGTGGAACAGCTGGTTGACAAAATGATGAAGGATGGGGTAATTGAAGAATCATCCAGCCCTTGGTCTGCACCGGTTGTATTAGTGTCCAAGAAGGATGGATCCACAAGATTCTGTGTGGATTATAGGAAGCTCAATGACGTCACCAAGAAGGATAGCTACCCGTTACCAAGGATTGATGACACTTTGACTACATTGGCTGGCTCCCGATGGTTTTCGACACTGGACTTGAAGAGCGGATACTGGCAAGTGGGCATTCACGAAGAAGATAAGGAGAAGACTGCTTTTACGACTGGTAATGGACTGTACCAGTTTACTGTGATGCCTTTTGGACTATGTAATGCTCCAGCAACTTTTGAGAGACTGATGGAATTGGTACTGCGTGGGCTCACTTGGAAAACTTGCCTGGTATATCTGGACGATGTTTTGGTCATGGGAAAGAATTTTGAGGAACACCTGAAGAACTTACGGGAAGTGTTCCAGCGATTCAGGAATGCCAACCTCAAACTGAACCTGAAGAAATGTTCACTATTCCAGAAACGAGTAGATTTCTTGGGCCACACGGTAACGTCAGAAGGAATACAAACTGACGAGACAAAGATTCAAGCCATTCGAGACTGGCCAAGACCGAAGGACAAACATGAAGTTAGAAGTTTCTTG